AAAAGAGGGAGAAGGAGCATTTAGAAGGGGAAGAAAATATCAGAAGTAAAAAGAAAATACAATAAAATAATGTAAAGGACCTTCTGGTTAATTAGTTGCAATTGATATTGTTGATTTCTCATTTAGTAGAATTGATATATTAAACATGTTTTACTGACATACGGTTGCCAAGATGTAGATAATATGTTATTATTCACTCGAAAAGTACCATAACCTTCATATTTGTTCATAATCTTGGACTCTGCTGACCTTAAAATAGGTGCAAAACGATCGCTTTTCCTAGCGGGCTATGAGCTATAATGAATAAAGGTTTTATAGCTCCTCGCTTGCACCCTCTACGGTTTAATCACCAATGACTTTCCCAGCACTATTTCACTGCCCTCTGATATCTGGGCCCCACTAGAATACGTAGAAATCACACTTTGCTTTTTTAACAGTTTTGTAAGTGACTAGCGCAACCTGTGGTCAGAGAGTACTATTTAATCATGCTTAAGGAAAGTGATTGAGAAAGAGATTCAGCCTTTTTTAACACTGGTCGTGTTCACAAAATACTGTAAATATTGCAAAGAGAAAGTAAAAAATGCCCGAGAGAGAGAGAGAGAGAGAGAGAGAGAGAGAGAGATCCACGGTGCGCAATACGAAAAAATGATACTGGGTAGAAAAATCTCCTGCAGTTTTTATATGTAATATGTTGATGAATGAAGATAGGTCTTTTTTCAACTTTTGATTCTAGATTGATAGAAATGTACACTGGGTAACGTCTCGTACAATTTTTACATTTAAAATGTTGATGAGTGCTTTATTTTCCCTCCTTTGTGATATCACAAGAAAAAGAGGGAGAGGGAGCATTTAATTTAGAAGAGGAAGAAAATATAATAAGCAAAAATGACCCTCTGGTGACGTTTTAATTAGTTGCAATTGATATTGTTGAATTCTCATTTAGTAGAATTGATATATTAAACATGTTTTACTGACATATGGTTGTCAAGATAATATGGCATTATTCACTCGAAAAGTACCATAACCTTGATATTTGTTCATAATCTTGGACTCTGTTAAAATAGGTGCAAAACAATCGCTTTTCCCAGCGGGCTATGAGCTATAATGAATAAAGGTTTTATAGCTCCTCTCTTGCACCCTCTACGGTTGAATCACCAATGACCTTCCCAGCACTATTTTACTGCCCATTGATATCTGGGCCCCACTAGAATACGTACAAATCACACTCTGCTTTTTTAACAGTTTTTTAACAGACTAGTGCACCCTGTGGTCAGAGAGTACTATTTAATCATGATTAAGGGAAGTGATTGCAGTAATCAATTTCAAATTTTAGGGATTGTATAGTAAGCTTACCATTTTCAACACTGGTCGTGTTCACAAAAGACTAAAATATTACAGAGAGTATAAAATATCCGAGAGAGAGAGAAAAAGAGAGAGAGAGAGAGAAATGAAAAAAAAATGTTAAAATTACAACCCTTGACGAAAAGGGGGTGAACCAGAAAAAAAGGCATATATATATTTTTTTCTTTAAATCAGGAAAACAGTTCTTGCTGTAATAAAACAACATTTTCACATTAACAAAATTTGGTACAAAATGTGGCCATTATCAGTGTCATTGCCTTCAATCTTAAATGAAGCACGTTAACGATACACGAGCACAACAACAACATCCATTATAAAAAAACTGCTTAGGTGTAATGGAAAGTGAAATAGTATAAGGATTTCATTAAATCTACAAAATACAAAATATACACAATGTAGAAAAAACTAAGCAATTACAAAAGTGGTATCAAAGTTGCAAAAAAATGCATTGCTGAAATACACATTAAACATTTAATAATACAAAATGAAAACTGGCACCGTTATTAAGGAAAAGACTGGTCACTAACCATATGACCAATGGATAATTACAGATGCTTTTTAAGTTAAAAATATATAAATTTATCCATGTTCTATAGGATTATTACCACAAGTGTACTCAGAGCATCACAAAAAGAGTGTCAATCAGAGGGATTAATATCCTAAATGGCAAAATGCTTTGTACATCATGATAAAAATCTATAATAAAAGTCAACCTAAAACAAGGAGAAATCACATTGTATTCAAATACAATTAGAAAATGGAAAAATCAAGCACTGTTTAAAATCTGAATTTTATCTGATAATTTAAGAGGACACAATGGTTATTGAGCAGTTCTTTTAAATTCTATACAGGTTAACCCTGTGCAAAATACAAATAAGTAACTACATACTTTGACACTTTTACAAATAAAGAGAAAGTAGAACATTCAGTAACTGCAGAAAATATAACAAATGTCACAAGCAATGTGCAGCAAGAATTTATATATAAAACTGAAACTGCACAATGAACCACAACTGGAGGCCCACACAAACAATAGTGAACCAACTATACATAATTATTTACTAGACTTTTTTCATTTTGTTTTGAAGAGCTTTCCACACATTCATGTGGAGAATTTCACGAAATACAAAATGCATAACATTAAATCACACATTTACTGATATTTTACTGATGTGCCAGACTTAAAGTTGAGGGTAAATTTCCAGTATCTTTTCACCCCAATCTCCTTTTTCCATCGGCTATTTCTTTCAGTAAATTCTTTTTTCTTTCATTCATCATTAAATTTCAGGTTACTTGGAACAAAAATTAGTGACCTGTTGTGGTGGTAGGAAATATTTTCTAATGCACTAATGATATTCACGATTACATTGTTATTAAAAAAAATAAGTATCCTACACTGTAGAAAAAAGGACTAGAACTATCATCATCTTGTCTGATGAACCTCGATCTTGAGTTGGCACAAAACTCCACCTAGAAATTAAACATTATAAATAAAAGAAAAAATGAATTTAAAATAACTAAGTATCTCAGACAATTTAAGGAAATACTTTTATCCCAATGATATTACCAAATATTTGACAAAACAACAACAAAAGCTTAAATCAAATTCTAATTTAATTAACTAAGAGTCGATGTATTTTAAAATGCCATACAATATGAATATTTAGACATGCTTTTCATTTATAACAACTGCTTTATTATTTAAGGTATGCAGTTGTTTGTTCCNAACCCTAACCCTAACCCTAACCCTAAATCCTAACCACTAACCCTAACCCTAACCCTAACCCTAAACCCTAAAAAGGCGCAAAAACAAAAAAAAACACTCCCTTAGTCTTTATTTAAAGAAGCTTAAATTGATTCCTAGGCGGTAATAATCACTGATCTCTATCCTATACCAGCTACGCAACAGATCAAACTTGAATTGAGTCAATAGCTAAACTGGCATGGCGCCATTCACGTCATACTGCCCTTTCATCTTAGAGTGCTGTTTTCTCGGTGGGATTATCAGCAAGATAATTTCTTCTTCTTCTTTTTTTTTTCGAAAGTCACATTACCGCTTTTAGTTTACCCAACTTTTAATTTTTTAAATACCCTCCCCTCTTCTCAAGGCTGTTTATATTGTCTTACAGTACCCGGGGCAACTCCACAATGGCCATTAGAAATGGTTAAGGCTACTCAAAACCAAAAAAAGCCAAAGTGTGAACCGCTTTATCTCTCTTTAGCTCTTTAACACCAGGCCCCTCATCAGCAATTCCGAAGTGGGTATTTTTCCGGAAAAATTTAAACACTTTTATCGTAGAACGTACATATGGTTTATTTATGCTTTCATAAAAGCCAAATAAAAACAAGCCTTGGCAGATGTAAAATCATGTTTAGTATATCGAAAACTTGTTAAAATTACAACCCTTGACGAAAAGAAAAAAGTTTTACCCAGTCTGTATATTTCAAAAATCAGGAAAACAATCCTTGCTCTAATAAAATAACATTTACACATTACTAAAATTTTGTTATAAAATGTCGCCATAAGCAGTATCATTTCCTTCAATTTTAAATGAACACGGTAAATGATACAGAGCATCACATAACAGCATCCATTATAAAAAACTGCTTAAGTGTAATAGAAAGTGAATGAGTATAAGCGTTTCATTAAATCTACAAAATACAAAACCTACACAATGAAGACAAAATTAAGAAATTACAAAAGTGACATCAAAAGTTGTAAAAAACATTACTTTCATACATATTAACCATTTAAACATTAAACGTTTACAAAATGAAAACTGGAACCATTATTAAGAAAAAAGACTGGTCACTAACCATATGATCAGTGGATAATTTCAGATATTTTTTAAGTTAAACGTATATACAATTCCATCTAGCTAATAAGATTATTTCCGCAAGTATGCTTACAGCATCACACTTTGCAGGGGCGGATTTAGGGGTGGGAGGTCAGGGGCGATTAAAAAATCACACTAATGGTCCCCTCTTGAAATGAGAACTTTGACTAGCTAAATCATAGTTCTAAACCGTACCAAATGGCACCGTTCACCCTCTAAAATATCAAAAATTTTCTTGGACCTACAGCGGGCCCCGAACCCCACGCCAAAGGTGGGGGGGGGGGGGGGGGGGGGGGGGGCTGCTTCGCATCCGCGGACCCCCTTCAAATAATCCTGGATCCGCCCCTGCGTCAGAGAGATTCCTGCCTCCAGATCAAGCATTCAACCTTCGAGTGATTGCAAGCATTTATAGTTCGACTGATCACTAGCGGTCATAATTACTGGGCAGCATTTCCGTGTCTACGGGCCGTTATATCTTGTTATGCTACTGGGGCGTGTTTGACGCCAGTCGGAAATACCCCACTCCCATCCTCTTTATTTCTCTCTCTCTCACTCTCTCTCACACACACACACACACACACACACACACACACATTTGAAAAAAAAGGGGACCTACAATTCATAAGAAAACAACATTTTTGGGATCATGTTTTAAAAACTCACTGACTAAAGGGAATTATCGCGTAGCACGTGCATTGCGATAGAGATAACGATATTTCTACTGCAAACATTAATTCATGATAGTATACTGTTATTTATGGTGCAGACTTCATACATCAGGTCCTATTTTTAGGTTGGAAATTCCAACATATGTCGCAATAGGAAATATCGCTGAGTAGGCGTCCGTTGGGCTATATAAACATCAAACTAACGCGAAAGAGACAATTACAGACAGAAAGAACCTAACTATGAAGATGGCCGTCCACAATTAAGTCGGACCTGCCCGTGAAAGGGCAGGCGATATATGAAGTTTACTTCATCGCTGTGCTATCGACGGTCTTTTTCGAAGCAAATAATATCATTAATATAGAAGAAACCCGATTGATTCTGCGAAGAGGACAAGGAAGAACATACACTTCTTCGGTGTAAATTAGAATAACTGAGAATCAAATATTTCAGGGTAAGCTTACTATCGACTTAATTTTCACAATATTTCAAGTTAAGAATACTGAGATCTGCACTACGTTTGTGGGACTGTTTTAGACGTTAGCACATAATGTAAAACAGAAAAGGTGATGTTGTGGTTCTAATCATGGACATAATGAGAGATCTCTCATTATGTCCATGTTCTAATGTATCACACTGCGTGTCAAGGGCCGATAGGTCACTCTGTCACGTTACACCTGAAAGCGTGATATCTTAAACAATAATGAGCTCTATGTTTATCTAAGTGAACCCTTCCTAACTCTGTGTTTCAGAATGGTCGTTGACAACCAGTCCTATGCTCGCCTCGCCCATTTGGTGCTGGACCTGGGGGCAGTTGCATTACGTCATTTTTTCTCGGCATCTATCCTCCAGAATGGAGAGACATTGGAGCAGTTTCTGACACGCAATAAACAGAATATCTGGGACTGCTACAAACGGAAAAAGGTGATTCACAAATCACAGTACGAACTACTCTTCTTGCCAAACATTCTGCACACACCAAAACTAGACGACTTGGATGTGACATTGCTATGTTTTCTGATCCGTCAATTTCATCCCAATGTTCCAGTAACATGGTATGGTTGGAGTTGCCCAGACAAAGCTAAAGCAAAAGCTGACCCTCTTATGACACCAGAGATAGAGGCTATCATAAATATCAAGTACCACAGGAACCAACTGGCACATAGAGGTACTACCGTGGTTAAAGACCAGGAGTTTGAAAAGATGTGGAACACTATTGCTCCCAGTGTTGTCACACTGGGTGTGGAGAAACCAGTAGTTGAGGAAGCCAGAATGGAAGTCATTGGCATTCAACATTACATTCTACTCCTAAACGTTTTATTTAATTACTAAGGAGTAAATAAGTTGTATTAATGATACATCTGAGACTCCGAAGATCTACTTTATACAGATGAAATATGTAATCACACTGGGCGTGGAGAAACGAGTAGTTGAGTAGATTTTTGAAGTAATATGTAATGTATGGGATGACATATTACATCTGTAAAGTAGACATCTTCGGAGTCTGAGATGCATCATTAATACAACTTATTTACTCCTTTAAGATGTGCGTTTGATTTGGTCTTCAAGTGCAATTTCAGATCAAAAACAATCTTACATGGTCTCAAACCACAAGTAAGACAATTACTGGACCGACTTGTTTTGTCTCCCCTCACACGTTCTCCTATTGTGTCAGGAGCAGAGGTGTCCTCCATTGTGAGCGGAGGAAATTGCTTGACCACGTAAATAGATGTTAGATCATTTTTATCTTTAAAAAAGCAGTTTCAGTCCATTTCAAGACCACTGCTGTAATGATTGAGACCGTGTAAGATTATTTGTGATCTAAAACTGCACTTTAAGACCAAATCAGCTCTAGTGTTGTATCCTAGTGCACTAGTGCTGTATCCTCCCCAGGGAGGTGAGAGCGACAACTTATAGTGTGCAGCAGTGCCAAAATAACCAGGCTTCATTTGAATTTGGGAATTAAATAAATATATATATAACTTCAACCCTCGTGGTTGCAATATCTCAATAAAGATTATTATTCTTATTCTTAGATTATTATTATTATTATTAACCTTAGATATGTAGATAATGTTCTTTCTGTACTTAAAATTTGCTTATAAAACCTCTGTAGAGCAGGGTGGATTTTCCAGACCTGTTTGGGTGTGGGGGGAGGGGGGGGGGGTTCAAGAGGTAAACAGAGGTACATTTTGTTCATTGCTAATTCTGACTTTCCTCTTTCACACACATAGTACACGTGAAATAATCTGAACCTAGTACCTACTTTATTTCATCTTCCCAACATATGCCCATCAAATATAGCACAGGCGCTGAGCCTTGAATGCATACTAAAATCGGGAGAATCGGAGCATAAGTAAGCCCAGCGCCTTTGCTCTATTTGATGGGGACATTTGAGACGAAGAAAGCCAAAATATGTAGGTAGTTGGTTCACATATCTGTAATGTGTGTACAAAGACACAAAGAGAACATTCAGAACAGATGATCCACGGACTAACTTAATGCGCTCAAAATGTACTACTGGTTTGGAAGTTAAACCCCCTAAAGTTGATTAAGACTCAATAATCTTGTTTAATGACACTGTTGAAATATAATTCACCTTTCATAAAAACTTAATTCCTTTTCATTTTATTCATTTAGCTATAAAAAGAAAAAAAAAGTTAAAAAATGTACAAAAATGACAGTTATAATAAATTAATAAAATAATGTTGACAAAATATTTCTAAAAAATGTACAGAAGAAGTTTTATATTCATCATTTATCCTTCTTCAGTCTTGTTTGTACAAATCCCAATGGACGGCAGCATATGTGTGGGGCTTTGTCATCTCCTCACAAACAAATGCCTTGCTTTATCTCTCATGTTTTCTTAATCCATGTAAGCCATATGATATCAACAGTTCCACCACAACAGTGGTTCAATCCATTGCTCCTTTACTTCTGTCAATCTTTCTCTTAACTTAAACTAAGAAGTGGGCAATATTTTGCTTTAGAAAAAAAAGATGTGTCCAGCTTTCATCCTTCTCCGTTGGGCTCTGTGCCATCTATTTAACACTAGACAGGTGCTGCCATCTATTGTCTATTTAACACCAGACAGGTGCTGCCACCTTTTGTCTTTATGCTACCTCTTCCTTTTTTCTTCTTCTGTTTGCCTCTCCAGTTCCTGAACCTCTAATTCCAGCTCAACCAATGCCCGCTCTATCTCGTAGTTCTTGCTTACAAGGCCTACCCAGCTGCAAATAAGTAAATGAATAAATAAAAAGAAACCACAAGATAACCTAGTTAACATTATTACTTTTTCACGAGTTTCTATTAACAAACTTTAATTTTACCATCAATGTAAAACTGGATAACATAATGTCAGAACATCAGACCACTCACAAACTGGATAACATAATGTTAGAACATCAAACCACTCACAAACTGGATAACATAATGTCAGAACATCAGACCACTCACAAACTGGATAACATAATGTCAGAACATCAGACCACTCACAAACTGGATAACATAATGTCAGAACATCAGACCACTCACAAACTGGATAACATAATGTCAGAACATCAGACCACTCACAAACTGGATAACATAATGTCAGAACATCAGACCACTCACAAACTGGATAACATAATGTCAGAACATCAGACCACTCACAAACTGGATAACATAATGTCAGAACATCAGACCACTCACAAACTGGATAACATAATGTCAGAACATCAGACCACTCACAAACTGGATAACATAATGTCAGAACATCAGACCACTCACAAACTGGATAACATAATGTCAGAACATCAGACCACTCACAAACTGGATAACATAATGTCAGAACATCAGACCACTCACAAACTGGATAACATAATGTCAGAACATCAGACCACTCACAAACTGGATAACATAATGTCAGAACATCAGACCACTCACAAACTGGATAACATAATGTCAGAACATCAGACCACTCACAAACTGGATAACATAATGTCAGAACATCAGACCACTCACAAACTGGATAACATAATGTCAGAACATCAGACCACTCACAAACTGGATAACATAATGTCAGAACATCAGACCACTCACAAACTGGATAACATAATGTCAGAACATCAGACCACTCACAAACTGGATAACATAATGTCAGAACATCAGACCACTCACAAACTGGATAACATAATGTCAGAACATCAGACCACTCACAAACTGGATAACATAATGTCAGAACATCAGACCACTCACAAACTGGATAACATAATGTCAGAACATCAGACCACTCACAAACTGGATAACATAATGTCAGAACATCAGACCACTCACAAACTGGATAACATAATGTCAGAACATCAGACCACTCACAAACTGGATAACATAATGTCAGAACATCAGACCACTCACAAACTGGATAACATAATGTCAGAACATCA